CCAGATCTCAATTAAACTGATTGATAGATAATGTCTTCATCATATGAAAATCAAGTACAATCCCTCCCGTTAGGGGTTTAGTATCATACCATCATAAAATATATGAGAAGAACAAAACCTGTATAGATGTACAGTATATCTTGTTTATATTTTTTTTCACGGTTGTAATGGCGTCCGCTACTAAGACAACGCCTAGGAGTCACGTCACAAACTAAGGCAGATGATTGGAAAAACCTGTCTATAGAAGTTCCTTCATAATATATATAAGTTCCAAAGGAAGAAATATTTTTTTCTTAACCATATCGAAAATTTTCCATAATTTTTTTCCCAAACCACTTGTACCTTCTATAGGGAGGGGGGTATGGATTATATCTGGAATAGCCTATTAGAACATCTGCTATGCGCAACAAATAAACGTTGACTACTCGAGTGAAAATATTAAAAAAATCACGAAAAAAGTCTTTTACTTACAAAACATGATTATTCATTGGTGCCGAAATTACTATCTCGTGTGCTCACGATCCGATTTGACAAGGTGCCGATTCAACCAGGTGCCAAAATCATTAAATGACTAGAAATCGACTGTTTTAGGGTTTTATCTACGATGCAATCCGGTAAATCCGCCCAAATAAGGCTTTGATCGTATGTATTTCTGCTTAATTATATACAAATTTTATCAAATTTAATATAAATCGATTCACTGACAAATCAACTTTGAGCAGTTTATCTCATTTCCCAAAAAATATCTGAAACAAATTTTAAAATCAACAAAACAAGAGGGTCATCCGTGTTTTTATCAGAAATGTGTTTGTCCGATAATTCTGTGCATGCGCAGTAAATATGTAGGGAAGGCCAATTTATCACAAATTTATGAAAGGAAAAGGTGATCTATTTATTAATAGACCACTTAAAAAGGGATTCCAGATAATCAAAAAATAAAATTTCAAGTCAGAAATGAGTTTTGTAAGCAATAATATGATTATCGTTAGCTTTAGGAACTGTATTATATCACTAGATATTTTCGTAATAAAATGAATAAAGGATTTTTCTTTGAAATTTGACATGCAGTGATGATAAGCCGGTACAGTTCTAAAGAATAAAATAGCAGACAAAATATTCACGGAAGTGACAATTACGGAAGTATATGGGAGTAGGCGGGTTTACCGAACGGGCGAAATTACCGGACACTATTGTAGTCCTTAATAATTATGAAGTCTTGTAAGACTATTTTAATTTTTTTCTGTGATGCCTTAGACTTGAAAGGCTATTTTATTTTTTCTGGGACGCCTTCCGAGCCTTTCAAGACGTGATAATACACCTTATTGCTATTTGTCCGCCATTACTGGATATCACACTGTGTGTTCCCGCCTGTCCTAAATAGAAGGGCGGCCCGCCCTTGGTACCCTTACCCCCGCCCTTGGTGCCCTTACCCCCGCCCTTATGCCCTCCAAAATAAAAGAATGCCCCCCTCTGCCTTTTCAAAAAAATAAAATTTCCAAATTTCATGCCTTCCTTTCAGACAACTAGCACCCTTCTGCCCCGAGATTCAAGCTGGAACACTGCAAAGGTTCCCGTAAAATTTTGACGTCATAAAACAAAATATCTGACGCCACAATGGAAAAGTGATTGTTATTGACGTCAAAAGTTCAAGCGGCCGGGTCAGCCGGGAATAGCGATAAGGTGTATTATTTTGACTAGGTCTTATCGAAAACCGTAGTTTGTGATACGATGTGTTTGTTTGAATTTTCACATACCATCCAAGTAATGGTTAACAATCACCGATTTCATCCGGAAAATTAGCGGTGGTTACCTGAGCGTTTTTTTATCAGTTAGGCGCTTGTATGTAATGTAAATGTATGGCGGTCTCTAACGTCCTGACGTAATAACAAGATGCCAACAAGATGTTGTGTCTCAGGATGTTCTATGAGTGGTGGTCATAAAATTCCCTTCAAATCCCGAGCTGTGTCTAAAGTGGAGGGTTGCACTAAAAAGATCTGACCCTACCAAAGGTCTATGGAAACCGGGAAAACACGACATTGTTTGTCATCAACATTTTACAGCAAATGATTACAAGGAGACATTATTAGGTAAATTTTGTATGATCTAAGTGTAGTTTATTCGTATTCTATTACTTTTAAAATTATCGGCATGCATTATAATGTCAGAAGTTGGATTTTTAGTGACCAGAAAGGGGGTTTTTAGGGGGTGGAAGGTAAACATTAAATAAACAAAATATATCATTTTTTTCTGTAAAACTAACACTGTAGCAGCATACATGTAAGTAGCTTTGTATTGATATCAAGTTATACCAACTGTTCAAGCTTGTGTTTTACCTTTTCTAATATAACAATGTGTATTTTTTTATAAATAGTATTTCAAAACACCTGTAAATGTTCAAGTATCACATGTATTGGGCACAATCATTATCACAGCTGACTGACATTGTTTCTAAAAAAATTGTTATTGTTTTAGCATGAATTTGTGTTTTTAAGTTTGTGTTGCTTTGTGGTTTCGTTTTACATTTTCAGGAAGACTACAAGTAAAGAGAATGTGAGTATGGCATTATTTAATAGATAGAAAAGAAAAAAGAATTCCTTATTTTTTTTAATAATAATATGATCATAACAATGGAAAATTGGGGTCAAAATAATTTAACAATTTAATAGATAAATCAAAAAAAAAAATTTAACTTTCATCTCCTACTTTAAGTTAACATGTATCATAGTTCATTCGACTTTCTGTTGTAAAAAGTGTGAGGTATCTACACATACACTATGGGCGTATTAAAGGACTTTTGACTGGTAAGCCAATCACACAACAGATAACCATCACAGTTTTGGATGTTGCTACTGATTGGCTAATCAATCAAAAATGAGTACGAAAGTTTCGACAATTACATCAACTTCGTTAGTCTCGGGCAGACAGTTGTCTCATAGGCATTTATACCACATCATCTTATCTTTATACATATTTGATTTCAAGCCATACTGCATCAGTAAAACATAAAATTTTATTTTAATTAATAACTTTTAATAACTCAAAATTTATATTCCCACATATCAACTTTCAATATACAACTGTACAACGGTATATTAGTATTAACAGTGTAGTATTTCCCAAAACACTTCATTGTAACTCGTATCTACATCAATCAGAACTAAGGAAAATCAAATATATCACATTAACTCCGTAATGAATATATATCACTTAAAATATGATTTTGTGAAAACATCTAATTTCCTCCCGTAAAATTGAACACGCACTGCGAAAACACACATTTGCCATCAGCATTACCGGAATTAATACTATCTAGACCAGATTTGCCCATGTCCATGCTTTCTTCTTTGTCTTGTGATTCCAATTTACATTTCTTTGGCGGGCCTCCTGGCTCAAGAATGTTTGAAATATCCATTAGCATTTCCGTTGAAGCTCGTTTATATTTTCGAACGCCTTCAACAGATCTGTGTCCGGTTCTATTCATTATTTCTTGCTCCGGAACGCCAGCTTGATAGAGAGATGTTGCACACGTCCTTTTTCCGGAATGGTTTGTAAAGTAATCTTCGATTCCTGCCTCAAAACACATGCTTTTCATTATTGATGACAATTTATTTACACCTAATGGCTGTGAACTGAATTTGATTTCACAACCTTTCTCTAAAGGTCGTCTGTAAAACGAGTTCCCGTTCATTTCAGAAATAATACTTAGGTAATCTTCATAAATCTTAAATAAATTAAGATTTTGGAAATGGTGCTTTATGTTTTTTGCAGTCAGGTGTCTCTGATGAAGTCCTCCTGAAACACCGAGGATAAAAGATATTTAATACAAAATTACTAGAAACGGAATTAAATGTTTATGTGTGTATTATATATCTAGTTCATGTGTCTTAACTTCTTAAAAAAAACTTTATAAATATTTTAATCATGATATCAAAATTATTAGTGAAGTTTGTATACATAATCATTCGGGAAAACTTGCATAAGTATCTTGATGGGGTCCTTCATTTCAGTATTCTTCAATTTTCATGCCATTTTTTCTCTATTTTTTATATTTTAGCACCTCATTATTCTCTAGTCTTTATACGTTTTTCCCGTTTATATTCTCTTTTCTGCAAACTCCCTTCAACACCCTCATGCATGCCATGACTTATAATAAGATAGATAATAAGATAAGATATTTTATAGGTTTCGAATCCCAAATCATTCATGATTGCTACCAAAAAATGAAACACTTTATAAATTTCATGCGTCCAAATCGCTTTTCTGGATTTTCCTTCTTCAGGAATGCTCAAGAGTGAAAGCCGAATATTTGAATTTTGACAATGTATAAATTTACGTCATTAGATAAACATAAAGATCAAACATTGAATAACAATATCAACGCGGACTTCGAAGAAGACACTTTGATTTTCCGAAAATTAACGATTCCACCTTGACCTTCTTATTACAGTACAACCTAATTGTTAACTTTTAATTTTTAATAATACATACCTTTGTAGGTTTTGCTAGCTCTTCCAGAAAAGGCAATGAAATGTCCATTTTGATCTTTTCCAATTTTAAACTGATCTGTTGACAAGTTCCTGTGTTCGTCTACACCCCTTAAACCAAACAGTTTGCTGTTGTAAAAAAACATAGTGTTAAGCACAGATTTCGAACTTTTGTTCCCTAGTAAATTCTTCTCCCAAAGAATATCTTCACTCTCCTGGTTAATAGGTTCTGCTTGTTTTGGAGTTGTCCCTATTCCCTCTGCCGTTAGCTGTGTCATTCTAGCACTAAGCGAACGCCTAAACTCATAAAATTGAGAGTCCTTTTCGTCCAAGAAATTGATATGAATTTCATTTTCACGTAGGTGCCGCAATATTCCTACACACAACATGTACAATGTTTTCGGTGGGTACGGTTTTCCGTCTTGCCGCCTCGTTTCAATCACAAAACGGCTCATCCATTGATTAATGTCACCAACTGTAAATCTTGTGAGCTCCGGAAGGCACAACTCGTGCTTGCTATGCGCGCACTTCTCCAATCATTGAACGTAGATATACTCCAATTTGTATTCTTTCTGGTGTTTTTACTCTCGGTGGATTTAACTAAAATGTCAATGTCCATATCGTTCACGAAGTTACCATACCGTCCATTATTAACATGACCCTCTGCTTTTACCGCGACATTAGTTTCCGGCATGATGATTTTCCCCAACTGTTCAATTACATTGTCGGCTGTTATTGGAACCTGTGTTAACTGAAAATCTAATTGAGAAATGTCTACCTCGTGGTTCACATCCATGTCAACTTCGTACTTATCTAACGCCTGTGAAAGGTTTAAATCGTCCATTTTTTCAAAAACAGTGTGTTCCTTTTCTATATCAGTACATATTTGGGATAAAGTAATGTCGTCAACACTTTGATCCCAGTGGGCATATAAAAAATCCGTTTCTGGTAAATTCACTTTGGCATTATCCATTTTGCTCCTTACACATCAAACCGCAAACTGAAATTCTACCGCGGGAAAACAACGTGACGGCTAGCGATGACGTCGAATGAACGTTTGGCACATGTGATTTACCAAATGGCACACGATTGGTTATGTGTGATACACGATAGGAGGGTCTAAATTGCACTCGAAAGCAGAGCTTTCTCGTGCAATTTAGTCCCTCCTATCGTGTATCTACACATAACCAAACGTTTGACATTTGGTAACTAAAACTTAATTGATGTAAATGGGAGTTACAAATGTATGTAAAAAATGTAAGTGGCTCATAATTTAAAATTAGCTGTTTGTTATCAATGTGTTGTTTTACTACATGCATATACCCACTCCAGGGTTAATGAAGCACAAATTGAAATAAATTAAACCTAAGATGTGGTATTATGATTGCCAATGGCACTACTCTCCATTGAAAACATAAAGTATAAAAATAAGCAATATGCATGACAGTCACAGTACAGCCTTCAACATGGAGCCTTGACTCACACAACAAAGTTCCTTAAGTAGTAAATACAACCAATTATAGGTCACACCTGCAACATGGAGACTTGTTTGTTTGCCATAGACCAACTAACTCAATGAATGTGATTGCATGTGGAACAAAGATTTCTTGTTAAACGCTATTAAATAAAATCTTAATAAGCCTGGCCTGAATTATTATTTATAAATGTATGTAAAGTTATACAAGTACTATCCCCACTGCAATGTTAACAAAAAATAAAGCAGAATACATGTATGTGGTAGTTTTATTGCCCAAATAAAAAAAAAATGTTTCCAAGCACATGTGTGTAAAATTTTTAAGATCAGTTTCATGCTTTGTTTCCAGGTGATCGAAGTAGACTAAAGGTAGATGCAGTACCAACAGTGTTTAGCTTTCGTCCCAAAATAAATATTGTAAGCCCTAGAGCTTTAAGAATGCAATCGAGAAAAGCTATGAGTGTGGACAAAGCTCTTGACCAAGGAATACAACAAGAGGTTGAAGTCGTGTCTACACAGAATAGTACCAATATTTCCATACCTTCAGAGCCTGACGTACATGTACCCAAGGACATGGAGATCCAGTGTGAGTTACTTGGTCGGTATTCAATTGAGAATTTCATGGACAATCCAAAGGCAGTTTCATTTTATACAGGTTTTAAATCTTATGAACATTTCATGTTTTTATTCCATGCACTAGGTCCTGCTGCATATGAGCTCAAATATAAATGTTCAACCCTTCATCCATCTGATCAGCTATTTATAACATTGATTAATCTCAGATGTGCCAAAGAAGATGTAGAATTATCCTTGCTATTTAATTTATCTGTTTCTACCATTGCTAGGGTTTTTAATACCTGGATTAACTTCCTTTATTTTCAACTGAATGAATTAAATATTTGGCCATCAAGAGACATTGTTGATAAGCATATGCCAGTAGATTTTCAAAGAAAATTTCCAAGGACTCGAGTTATCCTTGATGCTACTGAGATTCCAATCCAGAAATCTCAAGACGTAAATATTCAGAGTGTGACTTGGTCTTCCTACAAGCACAAAAATACTGTGAAAACTATGGTCGGGTGTACCCCAAGAGGTGCTATATCGTATATTTCAGACTGCTATGGGGGATCTACCAGTGACAGGCAGATTATTGAAGACTCAAGTCTTTTAGATAATACCAGGTTTGACTCTGGGGATAGTATTATGGCGGATCGAGGCATTATGGTTCAAGACCTCTTTGCAAACAATGATATTTATGTTAATACGCCTACAATGCTGAAAGGAAAATCACAACTAGAGCCAGAAGAAATTGTGAGGGAAAGACGTGTTGCATCCAAGCGTATCCATATAGAACGTGTAATAGGATTAGCCAAACGTTTCAAAATTTTTAAGTCTGAATTACAAAACACCAAACTGTCACTGAGTAACAGAATTGTATTTGTTTGTTTTGCATTGACGAATTTCAAAAATGCAATTGTTGATAAATTTGCCTAGATTTTCAAAGGGTCCCATTTTTATTTTAATATTGTAATTTAACAAAAGAAAGTAAATAAAATTGACCTTATTTTTATAGTTTCAAAGTATACTTCCTGAGATGTTTCCACTAATTACATAAAATGTAATTTTACTTTTTAACTAGTTTTGGCTTGTTGTAGATATGAGATTTTCGGTGCCTAATGCTCTTTATTGCTTTGAGTATGTTTATTTGGTTTTTCAATGTTTCAACATCTATCAATATTGAAGAGATTGTGATAATCTGAAAAGGTGCTTTTTATCAAGTCCAGCATTATTGGTATGTAGTCGAATAAAAATGCACCCTCATCTGTAATATGGAACTTATATGTAATTTTTTATTTAGGTTAAGGGCTGGTTAAAATGTAGGAGGATTTTACAAGTTTGTTTTTTTGTAAATGTAAAAGGGGATTAAATTTTTGTATTAACGTAAAATAGGGTATCAATTTTTGCAGATGGAAATATAATTACATATTTCACGGGGGGTCAAATATCGTAAATTGAGAATTAACCACAAAAAGAGGGGGGCTGAATTGATTCTAAATTAGAAGGGAGGATAACAAATTTTGCATAAATTTCAAAGGGTGGTTCAAAAATGCACATAGGTGACACTTTCACAATGACCAGCCCAAACTCACTGATAAAAAACAATAAGAATATAAAAAATATAAAGTCTCAATAATTTATTAATTTTTTATAGCATTGAGGCAATATATGGCCTTAAGTGTTTGGAGTAAAATAATTCCAACTTTGGAAGCAGACAACCAACACAGTAGTCATGATTAATTTCAATTTTCTCAACAAAGAGGTCTTTAAATGTATAAACAATGAAATAACAATGTTCTCTCTGTGATAAAAAAAGTTGACTCTGAATTTGGTCGTAATAGTTTGATGTTTTTCTTAATGTTATATTGTTATCGTTGCCATATTCCAAAAAAGAAAAATTGACTCCTGGCGCAATACTCTCATCTCGTCCTGTATATGGACATTTCACCTCCACAACACAATCATCTCCAATTAAAGCATCTGGGGAAGCTCCAAGAAATGGTTTGTCAGCAGAAATAAACAGTCCACATGGTTGACATTTCAATTGAAACTTTTGATCAAACTGTGATATTGCCTTCTGCTCGTACATTTTACCATGCAATACAGATTTTACATTTAGGAACTTTTGAGAGCACAATGATTCACATAGTTTTTGTACATTTCTCCTTGAGGTCATCTTTGAAATTTCTCCAAACCTAGATGCTGTTATCCTCCACTGTCTTAAATAAAACCATTGCTTGTTGCTGGATTGCCCTCTTGTCTCCTTTTCAGCCAATTTTGTCTGTTGTACTGTAACCTAAAATAGCAGTGAAATCAATATAAAATCTTGACTTTAAGGAATTTTCAGCATGTAAATGTAGCAAGTAGTTTTTTATTTTATTTTATATAGTTTAAAAGATATCTCATAATATTATTAATTCGTATATTTTAACTAATTTGATTCGTTCAGGGATAGTCACATGTTAAACTATATTTTCGAAGGTAGAGAGAAAACGGCGGATAGCAAAAAGCATATTGCACAGCAAAAAGCATATTGCACGGTTATTTTTAGAATATCTAAAATCCGATATACTTTGTGACGTCATGTAATGAATTTCATGATATTGTTAAAATTTTTATAAAAAGATATTTATGATCGACTATTTGAAGAAAAAAATCTTCAGATACATAAGATGTGAAAAAACAACAAAAAAAGCAAATGAAATAACAACTAATTATGTTGTTATCGTCTAGGAGACAATATGATATCTATAAAATTCCAACAAAATCAAATGACGATGTTGATACAAATGTGGTTGGAAATTAATAACATAACAATTATAGCCTATTTATGAGGTCAATACAGGATATATCGACCCAAAGAAGTATATCGACCTCGGACTTCGTCCTCAGTCAATATACTTCTTTCAGGTCAATATATCCTTGTATCGACCTCATACAAAGGCTATAATTGTATATAGTTTATAAGATATCTCATATAGTTTATAAGATATCTCATATAATTTATAAGATATATCTCATATAGTTTAAAAGATATCTCATATAACTTTATTAGATATCTAATAAACTATATAAGATTTCTTAAAAACTATATAAGATATCTAATAAACTATATAAGATTTTAATGAACTATATAAGATATGTTATAAACTATATAAGATATCTTATAAACTATATAAGATATCTTATTAACTATATAAGATATCTCATATAGTTTGTAAGATATCTCATATAATTTATAAGATATCTTATAAAGAAAACTATATGAGATATCTTATAAAGAAAATTATATGAGATATCTTATAAACTATATATATATATATAAGACATGTTAGATAAGATTTATAAGATAAAATATTTGATTATTTTTTATAAAAGATATTTTATATAGTTTATAGGATATCTCATGAATTCACTCAATCCTTTTAATTTTATTAAGAAACAAAAACATTCATCCAATCATAAGATGTGTTATATTGAAATATAAGTTATTTGGTACCAGGTACTGAATAAACAGACAAACATGTTTAAAAGTGTGAAAACTATCCCATATTGAAAATAAAAAAAAGACTTAACTATTTTGAGTACAACAAAGATCAGTAAATTGTCTGGTTATTGATACCCTATATGCTAGCTAAATATTTCTTATTCGGGGCTTGTGAATTGTTAAATTTAAGTATAAAAATTATTTAAGAGTTTTTATACATTAATATTTATTGTACATAAGATATTTTGGAGTTGCCTTTTATGGCACTGATTTACATATAAATTGATACTGCAAATGAATTTTTCATCTTACCATTAAAGTTCTGTCAACCCAATATTCAGCAAATGGTAACGACAGATAGTCATGATCAAGCTGGGCAGTCTGAAATACAAATTTAAAATAATATTAAAGAAGCCATGTGCATAAATCTAACTACAATGTATATGATATGAGTTATTTTTTAAACATGGAGTTATCTACCTTTGACTAACAAAATTTATATAGATATACTACATATTACAGTGAATTTGGCAATATGAAAACTCAAGGCTACTTGCTTTCTTTTGTTAATATATAGTTTTTTAGATTGTATTATATGAGCACCAGAAATTTGACTTTACAAGACAAGTGGTATGTTTAAAAATTGACAGGCAATGTAAATTTTCCAAAAATCAAGAACATGCAAACTTTTTGTCTTTATCATGTGTGTGATTCAAACAGGTTTATTACTAATATATGACTGTATAAATTGTTAATGTTGTTAAAAGTTAATTTTATTCTATGTATTACCTAAAATTTGTTAATTTTATTTTAAATAAAGATATTTTTTCAAGTTTTTCTTATGAATCATCAACTTCCATTGTACCTCTATATCAGCTGCAGGAAAAATATATCTCAGTGTTAGGTCTTGAGATGATTGAGAGCAAAAATTAATCATGGTGTGTCTGACATGGTCTGTAAACCCTTCCATATTTCTGTACTTCTGTGGTCTTGGGTCCTCTAATATCTCTGTTGGTTTCCTTTTAGCAAGTTTTTCAATTTTCACTGGAGCACCTAAAATATAAAATAAAGGAAAATGAAGGAAAACAAAAAACAAAAACTCTAGTTAAAGGCCTGGTGGAGATATAGTTTCTGAACTTTGACATATGTTTCCATATATGTTTAACTCTTTAGAACAATACCGACGTAAAACTTCATGTACTGTTGCTTTATGGTGGGGCATAAACATATAAAGAAATGAAACTTGTTTATTCTCTCAATTCTTTGGTTGAAATAAATAGCTTTTACAGGACACTCAGGTAAAAGAAGTTACCATTGTAATATGTCTTTGGTTGTTGAAAAGTCTGTAAACCTTCTGTACATGATTTCTGTATTGAAATTTCTCCAGTATTAGAGAAAATATTAGCCATTAACAGCACTCAGCAACATGCTTGCAGGTGGCATTGGGACCCTTTCCTGCTGGACATTCACACTTTGAATTAACTGGGCTGCCAGATTTGTCAAGTTTGATATGATAGTTGTAAGATACCTGCAAATAAAACTAGAGGCTCTAAAGAGCCTGTGTCGCTCACCTTGGTCTATGTGCATATTAAACAAAGGACACAGATGGATTCATGACAAAATTGTGTTTTGGTGATGGTGATGTGTTTGTAGATCTTACTTTACTGAACATTCTTGATGCTTACAATTATCTCTATCTATAATGAACTTGGCCCAGTAGTTTCAGTGGAAATTATTTTGTAAAAATTTACAAAATTTATGAAAATTGATAAAAATTGATTATAAAGGCCAATAACTCCTTAAGGGGTCAATTGACCATTTTAGTCATGTTGACTTATTTGTAGGTCTTACTTTGCTGTACATTATTGCTATATACAGTTTATCTCTATCTATAATAATATTCAAGATAATAACCAAAAGCTGAAAAAATTTCTAAAAATTACCAATTCAGGGGCAGCAAGAGAAAAGAAAAACAATTGACAAAATATCATTACCAAATATACAAAATTATACTTTAGACATTTCCGCTTCTTTTGGTGCCAAGTTCATCAAAATCTAACAATGAATACGAACAAAATATTTTTTATATGAAATGTTTACAACATAAAAAATTTGACAATTACTTTTGACGTTTTTTCCACGTACTCACTGTACATACATGACATAAGCAGACTTTAAAGTCGTGAGCAGCCTATAAAAAGTTGTGCATTTGACATGATTTAGTTCATCATATACCTATCAATCAGATCTGCCTTTCTTCCTGTGATTACTGCACCCTTAATGCTCAGTTCAGCCTTCAATTTCGGGACGGTCCACAGGCTGTATTTTGCCGCCGCCATAGTTTACATTAGTTACAAGCGTCTCGTTGAAAATAAAACGCACGCTTAAGCACCGCTAACGTTTAGGCGGATCCGGCGTTCAAAATTACGTGATTGTTAACCAATGCATTGTATGGCTTTTCTTTGATTCTTAATTGTTTATGGGAACCGTACTAACAGAACAACTAGGTATAATCACCAAAGATAATGTACTTGACAAAGTACTATTTTTTATCAGGAGTCGGTATAAACATTGGGGAGAGTAACTGAGATAAAATGTTTAATTCCGTTGGGTTACACTAAAGATCTGAACGTGGACCTGAAAAGACCTGAATAGACCTGAAGATGTAAGATTCGATTTGTTCAAATTACAATTACTATTTCATTTTCCGATGGATTTTCTTCAAATTAGAATTTCTTTAAAGGTAAAGATCCACATTTTATTGAAAATAAAATGTTTCAAATAAAAAACAATTTTTTGATGCCAAAGCGTGGACCTGAACGAATAAATGAAAAGACCTGAACGGACCTGAAAATATATGGTTGGACTTATTCAAACTTCAATAGCTTTTCAAATATTCAATGGAAAACCTGAATGAACTTGAAATTCGACTTATATAATTTTTAAATTTCATTTACTTTTTTTCAAAGAATTTCCTTGAAATCTAGATTTTGTTAAAGTACAAATTAAATATTTTACCAAAACGAAAAAAAAAAACATTAATGAAAAATATTATTTTGGTGACAAGAATTGGACCTGAGAATTAAAAGACATGCGTAAACCTGAAAATACATTCTTGAAGGCCGTACGGTGACCTTAATATAGGTAATGTTAACTTCTATGGCGTTTGCTCTTTTGTGGATAGTTGTCTCATTGGGATCAAACCACATCTTCTTATTTTTATAAGAACATAAACGGTACCTTTTTTTCTGCACCAGATGCGTATTTTGACAATCAATGTCTCTTCAGTGATGCTCAAGGCAAAAAAATTTGAAAATCCAAAGCTTATTAAAAAGATGAAGAGATAATAACCAAATAGGAAAAAAAGTATAGCCAAAGACTTTGTAATGATTTATCAAAACAAAAAGTTAAGGTCCGACTTTTGGAACTAAGAAAATGGTTTTCATAAAATTCTTTATCATTTCAATAAAATATTGTACATTTTCTATAACAAAATTCAAATCACAAGGAGATTGATTGAAAACTAAAACTGTTATAGAACATGAATAAATATGACCGGAGATTTTCAGGTCAACTTCAGGTAATTTAATTTCCCGTTCAGGTCCGAGTTTTGACACCACAATTATATTTTTCATAATTTCTTTTTAAATAATATTAATAAATTGAATTTCTCGTTTCACAAAATCTAAACCTGAAGGAATTCCATTGAAGAATAAAACAGTTAGTGAAGTTTGAATATGTCTGATCGTAGAATTTCATGTCCGTTCAGGCCTTTTCATTTCTCCTTTCAGGTCCGAGTTTTGGAATCAAAAAAATGTTTTTTATTTAAAACATTTTATTTTTATTATCGCGTGGATCATTACCTTTTATAAAATTCTTACTTTGAGAAAATCCTTTGAATAATAAAAAAGTAATTGTAATTTGAATAAATCGAGTAGTATATCTTCAGGTCTATTCAGGTCTTTTAAGATCCACGTTCAGGTCTTTAGTGTAACCATTTTCCGTTCCATATTTCACGTGTTTCCTTTTCCTTTAATGGATCACCATTGATAACGACTAAAAGAAGACGAAAAACTGTTACAAATTAAACTTTTAAAACACCCACCTAACATACGGCTATATTATATATCATTCGAAAGCCTATTATCTGTACTTTCATTTTTGCCCGGTCGTCAATAATTCGTACGGTGCAATTTTCGTTAAATCAAGGTCAAAGGTCTAAACTGAGTATTCCAAATGTTTGCTATAATTACACAAAATGCCATTTTCAGGTACTTGTATGGCATTTTATTCCCTAAAATTGATCTAAACCTTATAAAACAAATTACCATGATTTCAAATCAAGTGCAAACTTAAATGTTGATTGCGCTATATTAAAAAAAAATTGCATTTCTTGAAAAAACTTCCAAAAATGATAAAATTGCAATAAAATCTAAATGTTTTCTGAAATTTGAATATTTGTATGTCAAAAATAGAATAGATTTATTGTTTATGGACCGAGGGAATTTTTTCATCATTTTAAACTGCAATTAATATGATGTAGGTCCAGATGCAGCCTTCTAATGAAGCTTTTATAGTTGCCCCAAAAAACACCATCTGCAAATGGGGATCATTTAGCTTTTTTTTTGCTAGATAATATTGCTAATATTGGCAGATAATGATCAACCATATTTAAAAAAAGGTTATGGAAGAACTTTAAGGAACAAAAGAAGTATATTTGGTAAAAATTAGTTTCCCGATGTGGAAAAATATGTTACGGAGATTAATATGCTCGTTCAATGTTCGAAAGAAAACTGTCTGTACCATGCGATTTTCAATGTCAAATCCTGCGAATTCCTTTTAATGTTAACCCATTATAATATACTTTGTTAGTTGTTTTATTAAATATGACTGAAAATTAATAATTCAGATTAATTAAGATTGAATAACCTTCATGAACAACTGTAATCACCATACTGGTTTATGTATTGTTCACACAATTCGGTATAGTGTTTTAAGAAGATTTGTTTGTCTATCTTACTTTTTCGCCATGATCATGTTGTCGTCTGTTTTTCTTCGACCATGGTTTGAGACTGCCTCCATATTATTTTATCCCTTCTTTCAATCAAAGAAAAGAAAACCATAAATTTCAAAGCTGAGCGAAAAAAGACAACAGAACTTAAAACTCAGATATTGATGCAAAAAATAAGTTAGTAAAACAACATAAATTACCGAACTCCAAGTGAAATTTCGAAAACAGAAAGTCTCTTATCACATATCAAAACCAAAAGCTGAAACACATCAAACGATTGGAAAACAGTTGTGATAGATCTCGTAGTTCTCTCTCCATCTCTATCTATCTTTATATGATATAGCGGAAATGTAGGAATCATCTTGTCCTTACGTTCTTTTTTCTTTTGTTCTTTCCATTCACATATCCATATGTTATTCTCAAAATTGAAATGAGCAATATTCCTTCGACATTGCTTGGCAGAATTATGGAAGTTCAAAGTGCACATATGGAGGTTATACGTGAAGGGATTTGTTTCATAATAGACATAATCAAATAGCGCTAAAAACAGTAATCGCTTTAAATTTACCAGAACATACCTGCTTTCAAGCTATCTCATTAAGTTAACCCTAATCTTATTAAAATTTAGTTCTTTGATTTCGTTATTATCATGCGATATATGAACAGGGGTGTCGTGATTGATCTAAATTTTAGTCAGATTGTTTTAACCCATGTTTTTAACACTTATACATAACATTTTGTACGGTTTTTTTTTCATGTCAACTTATATCACTTATTATTGTTGTGAGATCTTCGCACCATTAGAAACTTGAACCGAAAAATATGAAAATAACGTGAGAAAATCGCAAAAAGTCTCTGTAAGATCAATAACAGAGGGCTCAGTGCACAATAAATATCCACGAACATAATTTAAGATCAGATTACATAAAACCAATTAAAAAACTGGATAAATTCAACCACAATTTTTTCATTTCTCACAATTGTATAGATATTTTAGAATAAAATAACTTCATTTTAACCATATGTATTCTTAATATACACGTACTATCTTTATTAAATGCCTAAAATGAAAATAGTATGTGGTAAATCTACATTGAAATTTTAATGCAAAATCATGGCCAATTAAATTTGAAATAAAAGTGATGCAAATGCATTTATATTTTTGTTTCTATTAAGAAACTTTACTTGTAACATTTAGCTGAAGTAAACATCAACATTAACACTGCTGTGTTTGGTTAGAGGTTGCCTACTTTTACAAAAGGTGATCAATGCTGATTGGTATATTTGTGTTGTGACACCTACACAGTAACTTCGTCCTTGATACTAATAGCTATAACTAATGTATTGTTGATGGGGATTGCCAGTTTTCCTTCCGAAGGTCGGTGGTTCCTTGGGCATTCCA